CAAAGACTGAAGGCATACAACCACCTTTCTCCATTGTTCCATTCAAGCAGTGGGGTTAGGCAGGGTTGCTCAATCTCACCATTCCTTTTCAACTTTGCCATCGATGACATTCTGGAAACAGCTCTGATGGATTTAGGTAATGGCGCTCAGAATAGAAGCCAGCGGCGATCCTGCTGTAACCTTTTACTTCCTTCATAAAAAGTGGTTGTGTCTCCCTTAACTGAAAGATTTCTTCTGAATGTACCTTTCTGTTTCGCTATTTTTACCATTATTATCATTACACCACCTTACATCAATCTTTTTTTTCTTTCTTCCCCTCAAATTCTCATTGTTTTGTGTGGCGCATAAATATTTGGCGCATTCTTGTACCAATATTTGTGTGTTCAAATAAATAAATAAATAAGTTATTCATACACATATATGAGAATGTTTATAGTACGTAGTAAAGACGTTGCGTCACTGGTGCTTTGACACAATCGTGTGTGTAACAAAGCAGAGTTTTCCCACTTAATCCTATCGGCTTGATTTGTAGTTTCAGTGTTGTTGACGTTAACTTTTACTGGCGATTGGCGTATTTTTCTTGAAGTTGAAGAGGGTGGACTTTTTAGGAATTGTTCAGGAAAGTTATTCGAGATAAGGTGTCTACAACTACTTCGCCTGTCCCAGAAATATGTTGTACATACGAAGCAAATAGCAAGATGTAGTCCAGTCATCGAGGTTGTCTGGGGAGTACTTGTCTAAAGAAGAGTTTACAGTCAGTGGACAGGGTGAATCCCTGGCCTTCCACAGAGTGATGTAAGTACCTTACTGCACAATAATTGGCTAGGGGTGACCCGGCGAAGGTGCCATCCCTCGATTCACTGTCATTTATCCATCGTTGTAAGACTCCTCTAGATGCTGAGTCGGATGTATCAACGGCGATACTGAAGGAATTTTCGGTGTCGAGGTGTGCCAGCATTGTTGACTTATCATACTGCCCTCTCTTCATATTATCACCCAGTTTGATGAAATTTGCGTTTCCTCGAAGTTGGACTGTTAATGATCTCACAAGAGACGCATAATTCGCTATGAACCGTCGGCGAAACCCTGACAATACACTGTGTTCACAGTTGCATGAATACGGTGGGTTCTAGATGATCCAGGATGGCCACCACTTGGTTTTCCAGGAAAGGAATATTTTGGGAGATGGAATTCTCGTTACTTACATGTGATCAAACCCTCATCAACATGTAGACACATAAAGCTGAGATTTTTGAATCGTTTGATATTTCGAGAAGCATTTACTAAACTTGAAGGCATACAGAAAAGCTTTTAGTTCGAAAGGAATGGTATCTTTTTAAGAATATCGTTTACAGCCCTATTTATTCAATTGTATACTTTAACCAAGTTGACTAGTGAGAAGATGGTTGTATCTTTCACGCTAAATGTCAGGTTGTGAATAAATTAAAGGCTAATGAATGAGAGTGGCTTCTTTATCAGGTCGTTGATAATCAGCTGATGGACAACAGGCATTGCTATCTTGTTTAGGGACCACAAGTAACGGAGATTCTCATAGGCTGTTCAGTGATCGGATTATTCCTAAAACTATCATACGACCAAAGTGATCTTAGTCTGATCATAGCTTTCCAGTAGCTAGTCAGAACGCTTCCGAGAATACGGTTGGTTCTGTGGTTATAATGTAATCTGCAACATTGATAGTTACACACACTAATTTCGGTTGCGGTTTGTACAGTTCAGGATACTTATCTAGTATCATTTGGAAGGACTGATCGATTATATATTTGATCTTGAGATGACGTAACCTACAACCACCAAATCATGCTCCACACACAGAAAATTTAATATTTTTGCTCACTGGCCTCCATTTGCTTTGGTTGATGAGTAGGTTGTGGATTTGTAGTAGTTCCATGCCAATGATCGGCACTGATACATCTACAACAATGAAAAGCCAGTGAATGTGTTTGAAATTACTCACTCTAAGGTAAACGTACCTGTTACTGTAAGTGGCTGAGTACCTGGGTCGGATAATCTGTGTTCACGAAAGTCACTTTCGTTGACAGGGACCATTTTGAATCTTGGACATGTCACTTATGCAGAAACCTTAGATACACCGAAATCAGTCAATCTTGAAAATAGAACGCCCAAGGCACGATATCCCGAAGGAAATGGTAAGGGCATTAAATAATACTACGAGACTAAGTTGGGCTAGGGATTGATAAACATGAAGTCACCCAGCTGACTCTGATTTCTGAAATGCTCTCACATGGACTATGCTCGGATATGGCCACAATTTCCGACTGCATGCTTTCACCTTGTAATTTAAGGTGGGACTAACAAGGTCGATGTCATTACCGAATTTCAACGAAGACGCTCATTTTAGGAAGATACTTGCCATTTCATGTCTTTGATATTGAAAGTAGTTGTAAAATTTATTTCCCCTTTAAGTTAATAACTACAGGAATTGATTGATGTACATTCACAGGTAACCTCTGTTGAAACCACGGTGCTACTGTTAATAAATGAAATTCTTAGGCGCTATAATTTATATGAAGTGAAATGAGAACACGGAAGACTGGTGAAGATGAAGATATTATTGATTCTCCCAAATGAATAGAGTGTTAAAAAATACACACGTTTATGCACCGATTTTCAGACATTATAACATGGTGTATATAATAACTACATAGCCTTACCATAAAAATCAATTTTGAATATGGTTCACATTGAATTGATACAGAAAATATAAATATCAAATTGAATGAAATTTAAAATCAGTCACACAAAATGAAATCCAAATGGTATGATACAAAAAACATTGACCTTAAATAATTTCAGACAATAAAATAAGGATCCTTCGTAAGTCACAAAGCCAATGCCCCTTTTAACAACCAGAGCTACAATTATCAAGGTACATAGAATGTCCGGACAACGTGGGGGACTGAGAGGACCAGTTAAATAGTTGCGGAAATGAGGATATATAACCTGATGGTGCCCAAAGTGAAATGCATCGGATCTAAGGTGGATATAAAAGATTAGCTTCAGCATGAAGAAGAAAATACATCGCGTGCACAAGGATTTGCAGTGATACTGTCTAAATAAGCACAAAAAGCGCTTACAGCATGAAAATCTTATAGGTCCAGAGTAATTGCAGCACCAATCAATACAAAGAAGGAGGGGATTACAATTAACTTTACCTAGTGTTGTGCACCCATTAATGACAGCGATGAAGTCGAAGAAATCAGCGTATCTATCGCAAAAATCAGGAACGGGGAATCAGCAGGACCAGAAAACATACTGGTCGGAGCACTGAAATAAGGTATAGAGGTAACTGCGAAGTCGCTTTGCATTCTCTTCATAAAGGTCTACGAGTGAGAACAAATACCAACAGGCTATAAGGAGGGACAGGTCATCAAGGTACCAGAATAAGATCTTAAGATGAGAAATACGGAAGTATCATACAACCATCAGTAATGAGAAAAGTTTTCAACTGTGTTGTTGAACCAAATGAAAGATCCAGTAGACGTCCAGCTTCTAGACCAACAAGCTGAACTCCGTAAGGAAGCAAGTAAAATAAAATCAATATCATACTGAATAAAATGCTTCGTCAAGCCGAGGAAAATGTGAACTTACCTACTAATTTTATTGCATCAACCACATAGTATAACGTAAAACATGGGCTTTTATTGTCTTTAGAATGAGTTTCCGCTAGGACCGTTGCATATTTTGTACTAGATTATGTATCCATGCAAAAATATCTTATTCAACGTAGAACATATGAAAAGTTGTACTGAAAACTATATCTGTCTAACTGGTAGCAGATGGTCAGCTTTATAGTGTTGGTTGCTATTATTTCAGGATCTTATCTCTCATGAGCAGGAAATTAACAATGATGATTTTCATGCATTGAGACTATAAATATTGGTCTTAGAAGTCATGGTCTTCCACCAGAGAAAAAGTTACTTTATGGATGGCTATTACGGAACCATCAACTTCATTCCTCTTGTAAAATTTTTACTTTCTTGTTTATACAACATGAGTGTTTATTAACATTTTAAGTATATTCTGATGTAGAGATTCCAAATAATTAGTTCGCCTTCGTGTGCTCGAAAACGGTTTTCAACTAATCCGATCTTCCATGGTAATTTTATAGAACAAATGGAATGTTGTTAGCACTAGAATTTAGGATGTATGCTACATTCGAATCTGATTTGGGTTTCATATTTGTTAAAGCTTATCACATTTCGTTTTTCTTATATCTAACCAAAAACTGTCTATTTTGACCAAAAGATTACAGTTACTACTAGAGCTAGTTTTCGTATTTATATGGCGATTCATATATTTATCAAGTTAATAAAAACTTTTATTATCGAATCGCTGTAAACATGATTCCTTTGACAATCCAAAAAGCACCAACAGTTTTCATTAATCTAAGTAATTGTTTCTATTCGAATAGAATGTTGTACAATTGCAAAACATAAAATTATAAGAAGAAAGTCAAAAGATATAATCAGTGAAATATATGGGTCTTTTGATTTATTGTTAGTAACAATTACTAATATTATGTACAAAATGGTTCCAAAAATAAGTTAACTTCTTTAGAAAAAAAATACTGATATGGTGTATTGGTACCCATGAAAGTATTATTGGTGACAAATTGAATAAACAGAGCTAACGTTTACATACTATCGATTAAATTGTTTTCACTGTAAAAGTTACAGAAATGTATATTCAATAGTTGAAATGTTTATATTGAAAAACAATGAATTGATGAGCATCTTGTCTTTGTTTTTTTACTAAATGAGCAATCGGACCTGGTATTAATTATACATAAAAATCATTACCGATATGATTAGTTGTATGTCGAATAAAAAAAGTAAAATTAAAGTAACTTGCAAAACAAAAACGTTCCAATTATTCCATGAATTCAGTGCGTGAATTCGTAGTTATTTACTAGTTTTATATACAAATTAAAGTGTTTAGTTGTATTAAACGTAGATATATCAGTCGAATAAAATTATTTGTTTTTTTAAACTGTAAAACAAAATGAAAATAAAAAATTATTTTTTTATTGTTCAAAGTAAATAATCACTACAGAGATAAGAATGTAATTACTCTCACAGTTGAAATGATCAATTCTTATGAATAATTATTAACTAGTTGAAATATTTTTTTTTCTAAGATATTAACTATTCGGAACAAAATTCAGCCAAAACCAAGAGAAATTGTTTACTTTCTAATTTGGCACTACTTTTCACCGAGCATTATTTATTTACAGTTTTGAAATCATATAATTTGTATGTTATTTAGTTAAGTGGTCAGTGCCCTGTGATATTTGGGAATTCGACAGGGATTAATAGCTACTATCTCTTCAACTCACGACGAGTTTATCGATGAAGTCAACGAGTTACCAAGTAATATAGAAATTCCACCTAAAATATTATTGTATCGAAATTTCATAATGGGATTCAGTTGACGCGATTGAATAATTAAACGCCGATTTCACCAGATAAATACTCCTTTCCAAGTGCTTTTAAAAATATCTCAATTAATATGTACACAATGTTAATGTTTTATCGCTAAAGTTGATGTAGAAATCCAATTGCTGACAGCTTACCTACAGTTGATTTTATTAGTATAACAGTGAAATAAGCAAAATAATCTTTTGCTATTTTAGTCAACCATATTATGTCTTTGAATGACGATCTTCTTCATTACTAAATCCTTGTATCTTTGTGTTTTGAATATTGTAACAACATGGGATGAAGATATATTAAATGAAAATAATTTAGAAAGTGGTTAATAAAACACCAAAATTTAGTTTGAACTCGGCGTAAAAATATTGACATTCTTATTCGTTCAGTGTTTGGTTGAGAATAAGGGTGGTAAACTAGATACATTGTCATTTAGTGACGATAGTCGATCTTAAATTTTACATTTTCGAAACTTCCTAAATCAGATCAACCCGGTGCTAATCAGGGACTGGCTTCAAAATAGAGTTTCAGTATGAAGGAGCAACTTGTAAAATAAAACAAATAAGGTGTGAGGCTGTTTGTAGTCGATTAGACTATTGAGTACCACTAACATCGAGATTCGAATAACATTGGAAATGAAAGCTATTGACTGTCGAATCAGTAGCTCATTAGTATTGTGATCTTTAGAACAGCTAAAGTTTGATTCAAAGATGGCTGATTATCCCTTGGTCTTCAGTGGTGTACTGAATTTAAGGTGAGCAATCAACCAGAGAGTCTCATGAGGATCTCACTATTACCTAAGATACATGTAATGTTTTTCATATTTGATAGATACAAAAAAAGAATGGCAGTCAATAAATAAAAAAAACTTGAGAAAAACAGATCTCTGTGCAAACACCAGTTCGCAGGCACGTCTAATCAGTTATTATCAAAGTGGGGGTTTGTGGAGATTGAGGTAATTTTATTAGTTGAATTCATTAATCGATCCAAGCTATACTGCCATTGAAAACCTGGATGGTCGTTTCGTCCTAGTATGGGACTTCTCAGCAGTGCGCGTCTACGATCCTGCATGCGGGGCTCGAACCAAGAACCTTCAATCTCGCGTGCAAACGCTTAAACTCTAGACCATGGAGCGTAACCAGTGGATTGCAATACGTGTCGGGTAGAGAAAAGTATCTACTTCAGACAATGGACGAGTGGTTTCTCAAGATCATTTTTCAATTGAAGTTGGACATTAACATCGTTGGATATCGCCTTAGTGGTCTGAAGGTTAGGCGTTCACGTGCGAGACCGGAGGTCTGAGTGCCGCATGCGGGATCGTGGATGCGCACTACTGAGTCGCATACTAAAATGAAACGGCCGTTCAGTGCTTCCAGGTTCTCAATGGTGGTCTAGCTTAGATCGATTCATAAATTAAACTATTAATAATCGTTTATTGTCAATAAACACGGAGTAATTGTGAAACCCTTTTTGGAGTTACAAAAGGGGATCAAAGAAGAAGGAAAATGGAGTATCGTTTAATTCTGCTAATTTGTGGCATATATTAGTTGCTAGTAAAGAGTTGTGGAGATTTTTAGGTTTCATTTAGATAATGAACCGATCAGTGTTAGGTCATCATGAATGGATTTTAGTTAGACATTAACAGCGTTAGATAATGGCTCAGTGGCCTTGATGTTAAACGTTTAGACATGAGATTGAAGGTCCTTGGTTTGCGTCCTGCGTGCAGAATCGTGAATGCTCACCGATGAGTAGCTTCGTCTAGAGCGTCCGGGTCTCCGATGGTGGTCTAACATTGGCCGATCCACGATCTCAATAAGATATACTTATTAGTTAACAGTTATTTAATAGTATAAATATGCAGCAACATAAATTCACTACAGCGACAGTGTACAGAAATCCTGACAATTGAAATTCGTATTCTATACATATTTCTCAAGTTTAAATATGACGCACGTATTAGCAATAAAATACAGCGTGATGTTTAGTAAAAATAAGATAAATGGTTGTTTTGTTAAGCAAGTATCAGACCAACCAATAAACATACTAGTAAAACTAATTACTCACCTACTGTAAAACCGAACTATTAAATCTGTGAGGTAGTAATTGTTCTTCAAGTTGTCCTAATTTAATTTCCAAGTCCTCTATGGCTTGGTTACTTCTCGAATACTCAGCCTTGGATCTACAAAGATGGGTAGTATAATTACGTTTCCTGTCAATATTTCGCTGATTACTTGATAACAATTCTTCATGACTGTCACTGTCAAGCAAACCAAATGATTTGTTGTCACGTGGACGAACTAGTTTAAAGGGCTTGTAATAAGGTATTGATAAACTAGAATGTATTCCTAATCTACGTAGTTCTTCTCTGGATCCAGAGACAATAGCTCTACGGATTTCAATTAGTTCATTTAATCGGTCAAATGAATTCTGTAAAATCCTTTTATCGGTATTTGATGGTGAAGAGAAAACATGATTCGGCGTTACGGGTTTACATGAAACCAAATAATTTTGATTTATGCGTTGGCTTAAAGATGGAAAAGTCCTCAGGGAACATGTACTAGATGACAGTCTACCATTTACTGATGTTTTTGGTCTGCAAGTATCACGTTCTGACAATTGAATATAGTCAAAATTGAGTTTACCTTGGTAACTGGATTGATTTTCTTGAGCATATAGTGAACCATCGAATAAGTAGTCCCCCTGGTCCTTTTTATATAACACTGAACTTTCATCACTTGAATAAATAAGATTATCTTTTTTCAACAACTTTTGTTTTATCATAGTGTGTAATTGACTTTTCAACAGTACTACCTCTTCTCTAAGTTGTGTGATTGTATGACCAGAATTGTTCTGTAGATAAACATGTTCAGGGATTGCTCCCAATAAATTTTCTACTCTTTCACATGCTTTGCGCAGACGTGTCTCAGTCATTTCTTCCCAACTCAACAAACGTCTTTTTTCTTCATTATATAAAGCAAGTAATGACAGTGAACTGTCGCAAGAAAGTTGACTGTTCAACTGAAAATGGTCATTTTCTCCGTAACTCAGACTACGATCATAAGATTGTCTGGTTTGAAGTATATTGCATTCATCAATTTCAGGACGTCTTTTTAATGTTTTACAAGGTTTATTACTGATTTGTTTAGATGATTTTTCAGCATCCGTTATATCTTCTGAACTATTTATTAACTGAGTGTGAATGGAGCTACTCAGCTCATTTTCTATAACTTCCGGCGATTGACAACTGATTAGTTTCCATACGTTTTCAGCTGTAGTCTTCTGCTTATCAAATGAATGATTTGAAATTCCATTGGTAGAAACTTTGCAGGAATATGTTACTTGCTCTAATAACTGTTGTGCATTTTCTATGAATAGAGTTACGATTGGGCATAAACTATGAGGACCTTTGATTTCAGCACCAAATTTAGAATTAACAAGTGGCTTTAACTGTAAAATAACTTGTTCAACTAAATCAAATGTATCGTAAAAATCCGTTTGTGATTTATATTCTTGATTGTTTATTTGCTCTGCTAAGTATAAAGAATAATAGATTTGTTGAACCTGTTGCTTAGTAAATATCAGCTCACTATCCAATGAGGCGCTTAACCATATTTCTAAACCTGTGCGCAATAAATCTTTATTCGCCTGTAATGCTAGAAGACCCAAACGTTGGCTCAGTAATAATAAAGTGTGTCTTAATTGTTTATCAAGTTTAACAATTGTCTTTTGGTCGATCAAAACTTGTAACTTGTTCAAAGCATCTTCTTCTTTCAATGAAAAGCGTGTATATTCACTTAAATTTGATGGTAAATGCATTGATGCGTCACGTAAAATAACTATGGATGATAGAATTGCAGACATTTCATTTGGTTGTAAACTGTTTATAGCTAATAAATGATTAAGACGATTTATTTCGGGTCTTACATCTTCCATTGGATATAGTAAATCTTCACAACTAGAAAAGTTAGTTAAATTATCAGAAATTATATCAGATTTCCTCTCACCTATTTCATTGGTTGATTCCATTGGATTAATTTTAAGTGAACATACTTTTGTATTATTATTGTCTAATGATGAATTACTGGGGATTTCATTTATACTTTCTTTTAACTTCATAGCAATTTCTTCATAAGACATGTTTAAAATTGTCTGAGGGAAAGACTCTTCGATGAGTAAATGTGAATAGTTGCATAATTTACCGATTAAACTATTACATAGATAATATTTTAAATGTGGTATAAATTCCAAATCTTCATGGAACACTTTTGAATAAATAAAATTATGATGAAACTGATCTGAATCGATGATCAACTGTATTAATTCAGATGAGCTCAAATCATTTAGGTCAACAACAAGCAGTTGCTTCAGTCTTTCATTTTGTACACAAATACTAGACAGGGGTCTTACATCTAAGGACATAGTTGTAGCGGACAATATTTCACTGTGTTTATTTCGATTTTCAACATCTTTCGGTATTAGATATTTTAAGAAATGAAGCCATAATGGAATTAGTTTATTAGTGTTAATATCAGGCTCTGCGTATTCTTCGCCATTCATTATAATTTTCGATAGACGATCTGTGTATTTGCGAAGATTTGTGCAAAACAATTGGTACAAATAGGTATTTAAATTTCGACGACAATGTCTTGGCAATATATTCAAGAAGTTTATCAATTCCTCACAAGTATTGCTGTATACTAATGATGTTTGTATGATTGGTATAGAATCTTGGGGTAGATTTGGATCAAAAATGTCTTCGTGGAAAAAACAGTTTATTAGAATACTATCCAATCTGTCAATAGTAAATGAATTTATTAAAGACGCTATGTCTATTGAAGTTTCACTGTAACTATGCTGCGAATGATTATACTGATTTGTTAACATACAACTGACAAAGTATCTTAAATAAGAAACTGTTTGCACTGGTAGTACTGAGCATGATATGTCATGAAGATACTGGAAATGATTTAACATAGATATTGTATGTCTTACAGGATATCGGTTTAATAATAAAGAAACCCTTAGTAATTGAGAAAGACTTTTTCGGTTAATTGGTTGAATTGGTATTTGTGTTAAGTTTGGTTTTATAAAATTTTCTTCATCAAACTCATTCAGTAAATTAATTAATTCAATCCGAATATTTTGAAATATTATTTGTAACGCCTTCTGTTTTAAGTCATCTATCAAACGAGATTCAAAATTTGAAATCCATGAAGTTCTCAAATTTGCAGATGAAATCCACAGGTGATATTCAGTTTCCATGAGAGGATGAAAAGAATGTGGTGTGTGTATATCAAGATGCATAAATTTTAAGATATTTTGTATACTGGAGGCAAAGGGAGCTGCTTCATTTGGTTGAATAAGAAATAATTCAGGATGTTCTGAAGATGTTAATGAAGATATTTTGGATAAAAAAGAGTTCAAGTAAACTAATGATGCAACGATATCGGTATTTGGAATTGATTCACAAGGATTGTCTACGGTGTTTGAACATAAAGCGTAACGTAATGATTCTTTTTCTGAATTCGAAATACTAATTAACTCGTGTTCACACTCATTATGTAACTCATCTAAAACATTTACACATATCCAGGCGCTTCGTGGTCCATTGAATTGTCCACTTAACAATGATAACTGAATCGCATTGCTTAACTCTTGATTAGTCATTTCAGCAGTTAAATCACACTCTGTGCTGACTGAAAGCTTCTGAATGCTAATTGTTCTTTGTTTTTGTGAGTATAAATCTAAACGAGGTTTCCAAAATCCAATTAAGCGATTAACTTCAAGCCTTGCTAATTTTAGTAATTCCGAAGTAAATATTGAATGAGCTTGTTGTGAAGTATGACGTAGTGGATGAGTGCAAGCTATGGAAGTGTACCACAATTGTAGCAGCATTAAATTAGTCCAAGATTCAGGTGAGTTTATAAAAACATTTTCTTCTAAAGAATTATCAACAATATCACTCAAGAAATCTAAATTTCCACTCAAGAACCATGAAAGTGATGTGCTAAGAGCTGCAGCATCTTCTTTATTCATCACCTGAGATACTGACGGTTCAATGACATTTTTGTTGAAGTGGTTTATCATTACTTGTACACATTGAAAAATAATCGCTACATTAGTAGATGATGTATTTATATGTAAATTACTGTCACAAAGAGTACTTAGGCTTTGTTCAATAGATTGATTAATATATGGTTGTTCCAATAACCAATATCCAAAATTATTTAAATTTTTGATTATATAAGCTATTTGTTTAGCTCTTAGTGGTTCAGTTAGTACTTCTATTGGATTAAATAAGACTGTTTCAAGAGATCTAAAAACTGACTGAAAGTGTTCTGACTGACTACACTTAATATCTTTTTTAATTATGTCTAAGGATTTAGAACCTTCAGTAGATATACATACTTGCATAGCTATTGACTCTGATTTTAGTCGTTCACATAGTTCATTTAGTAAACGTTTACTGAGTATATCCATGAAAATATTTTGATTTGTAATAAAAATATATAGCAATCTAGTGATTAAGTGTTTTAAGTGGAATGATAATTCTACATCATTTATTATGTTTGATTGGATTCTTTGTAGCAGACTTACTAGTAGAAAAATATCTATGGAAGATAAGCTTTGATTTAATATTCTAGAGTTCACGAAACGCTCCAAGATTTTCTCGAAAAGAATCGTATAATGTTTAGATGATGATGAAAGACTGGAAGACTGTACCTCAAAGAAATGTCTCAAGCAACTTTGTTTCTCAAAAAAGTGTAAAACATCATAAGAATTAAAAATTATTTTCAAACAGTGTGCATAATTTTTTGAGGTATAAATAAGACGATGTATTACTAATAAGTTAATCAGCATTTGTAGGAACTCAGCATTGTCTATGGCTAAATTCGGTAAACATATCAAAATTAAGTAGTAGACATTCTTAAAAAATGATTCTTCTTCTTGTTCAGAATTGTATTCATTTGATTGATTAACTAAGTGTAATGCCTTTTTAATTTCTTGTAGAATTCTTGATTTTATTTTAGATTCATATTGTCGGAGAAGAAGTTTACATGACTTGATTTCAGCATCAGTCAGAATAAATGATTGTTGTTCCTCTAATGAATAATAATAGTGCAATAGACGTTGTTCTAATATAAGTAGCTCTTTTTCATCATAATTTGAGTCATTAACTGAATTTATAAAAGACGAATGTAAATCATGGGAGGAAGATGTAGAGAAAGCGGTGGTTGAGGGTAGCAGATCTCGTAAGGCACTATAGGCAATCGCAGATTCTGTTTTCCAAATTGAAGTACGGTAGGAAATAATATCGTAGATAATTTTATAATTTAACAAATCTGTACATGATGTCATAGTTTCTTGTGAGATTTGAGATTTAATACTAGTAGAAATTGTGGCTAATGGTTTTAGATCACTGGAAGACAGTTTAATTGTTGGAAATGATAAGACATCTTGTACACTTTCCAATATTTCTAATTGTGAATTAATATTTTCCAATAGTGAAAATAATGAGATTATTTGAATTGTAGTTAACGGTTTCAGTTTCAAATACGATCGTATTGTAGAAATAAGTATTGAGGCTGTTTTAATGTCAATATCTTGTTCTTTTACTATCGATTTTGAATAGAGCTCATGAATCGTCGCCTGTTCATTTGTGTCTTCACTATGTTGACTTGAGATAACAGAAATCAAGCAATCAGAGTTTTGGCTAACAACATCTAAAGTATCTTGTGTTTCACTATCTGTTTCTGAAGTATAAAATTTGAAATTTTGTAATATTTCCTTTTTAATTGTGTTGTCTTGACTTAATATTTCAGACGTATTGGTCGTTTTTGCTGGAAAATTATCCTCTGTTAATTTGACGTCTATATCATTGAGTTTTTGGATTTCATCTGTGGTCACCTGATTCAACAATTGTTCATTTGAGCAAATCTCATGAACCAAAGTGGCTGTTTTTATGTTTTCAGAAAGTTTGGATTTCGAATTTTCAATGTTATCCGAAGTTTGAGATGTGAATGAACTGTCATATTTATCAGTAATCTTCTTAATAGTTGGAATCTTCCATTCTTTCTCATTTTCATTAACATTCAGCTCAATACTTAATGGTCTTTCATGAAATTGATGACTGCATGGTTTTCCAATAGTTTCTAATATGTTAGCTTTGGGAACTAATGAAGCAGTAGTATTCAAAAATGAATGTTGGCTGCTCACGCTGGAAACTAATAATGTACCCTCAAACGGTTCTACGTTTCCTAACATAACGGGATGTTCAGCAACTTTCATCACTGTAATTGGCCTGACTATTTTGCCTGTATCTATTAATTCATTTCTTATATCGTCAAGCTGACCTATTATACGATCTAAATGAATCTGTTCCTCCACTTTTAGAGCAAGCGGGAAAAATTGTTCCCCTAAAATTAACAAACTAATTAATGAACATTTTAAAGATTCTGGAATACACTGGATTTTCAATGAGTATGACCGTGATAAATGCTCAAGTTCAATAGTCTGAAACAAAATTTTGTATGCTAATGTCGAATTACCAATATCCTCACTTGTTCGAATTCGATTATAAAATTCTTTATATTCATTCAGCTTCAAATATAAAATATCCTTATTATGGTTTTCTAGAGTAGTAATATCAGAAATATTGATGATATTTGATAAAAAATTAGTAAAAGGTACAATTTGTTTGCATAACCCATTCACATTTCTAGAGTGTTGAAAAGAAAGACAATAATCACGCAGCAAATCAATATGATCAGTCGATATATTTAGTTGTTTTGAATGTGCCATAATAGCCACTTGACCAATAATTAAATTATTTAGAGATTGAACACTAAACTGTACATCATTTGGCAAACATAAGCCCCTGAGATGATCTGATATCGTGTTTTCAATATTATTGAACAGAGCATAACATACTTTTCCAAGAATATCTTGTAGTTTAATTTTAGTTTTTGAATTGATATATAATGGAGTAGAATTTACACAGTTTTGAATAACATTTAATTTAATTAGACTTAGGAAGTCCTGGTCTTTTTTTAGTATCTTTATGATATCTGATTGAGTTTTAATAAATTCGAGCATACAGAATAAACTTTCTGTATTTTCCGCATTCAATGAACAAATTTCTGTGCTTTCAAGAATTACTTTCAATCTATTTATATGTGTAAATAAAACTATTTGATCGCTGAAGTTATTAATAGTTGCGGAGTTATGAAGAATTCCTAAATAATCTTTCTCGTTAAGAAGGGAAACCTCTGAAGGTATACATTTATCCGCAACTCCATGTAAACTTTCTTTTTTATATGTCATAGCAAGCCACGTTGTTGGCTTCATTTTATTTTCAACTACATTAAAAAGTATATTCGAATTTATAGTATATTGTATGGAATCAAAAACTTCATCGTTCTCATCTGTTTGGCATGTACTTGAATTTACGATTTTCCAGCTTTCAGATTTGATATATTTCTCTTTTGATGTATTTGCTAAACCTTCACAATAATTAATAAGCTTCTTCGAAATTTCTTCATTCATCTCATAACCATTAAAAATTTTGTTAGAATGAATTTCTTGTATGATTTGTAGTGTTAGTTTCACCATATCAGTAGGTATTAACATAGGAGAAGCAATAATGCCAGACAAACAACTTAAAAAGAATTTACAGTTTTGTGGTTTCACATTCAGTGTACAGGGTAGATCTGTTGTTGATTGACTTAGAATTTCCTCTAACGTTAAGACGTGTAAATACAAGTTATGGTCGACGAAAGTTTCAAATAATCGTTCTTCTTTCCTATGTTTGTATTCCAAAGGTTTTTCAGCCGTTCCTTCAGATGATGTTATATTGCAGGTTTCTAAATGATGATTTAATTGGTTGGTAGATGATGTATAAGGAACGAGTGATTTTACTCCTTCAATCTGTAATTTTTGATTGACTAACCATGCATCTGGTACTGGTGTAAAATTTGATGGAAACCCTAATGAAATGTAACTAGTTTTGTACGATAAAAGCGATGAATTTATGTTGTGAATTGCTTCCACCAGCTTTTTAGTGACATTCACAAATGTATTTTGAAGGTTAATATGAAAGTTCGATAGGAAAAGCAAGAGTATACCGATTAGTATATTTGCTTCTGCCGACGCAAAGTCTGTTAAATTGTAATGTAAACGTCTTTGTGAAAGTAAAATACCAAGGAGGACGAGTGAATTAAGAAATCTCATCTTTTTGTACTCTGACAACTCAGAAAGGCAATCAGATGCAGCTTCATAAATAGAACGATTCAAATCTGCCAAATGTTTTTGGTCAACTTGATAATGACGTTTAGTAAGTGACTCGCTGTGTAATTCACCTGAAATTAAAGATAATATTGATGTGGAGACATCTTCTGACATTTTTACACATTTGGAATTGATAAGAGAATAGTAAAACTTGGTAAATTTTCCTAGTGTTGTAGCAATTTCATATGGATTATTGATTCTGAAACCTTTTGTGAATATGGTAGTCAAAGTTATAAGAATCCCGCACATTATATCGTCCATTTCCCCATTTACAAAGTAATGCCTTTCACTGGTAACCTTGTTTCTTATTTGAAGTAGAAGATTTTCAATATGATTTTGATAGGAGTTACTAATTTTAGTTGCCTGCAATGTAACTTGAATTGATGGTAACATGTTGTTGATTATTTGAGTTACACTAACACCATTGGTATCACTGGCAACAGTTAGGCCATTCAGTTCACTTTCGTTCGGTAAAATACATAACTTAAATAGTGATTTCAATTTTGTACAGACTGGTGAACAGTGCATAGATGGTGATTCACAAAAATCAACTAATGACCGAAAGTTTCTACGTATACTCAACAAATAAATCAATTTATTCATTTCATCAGGCAAAGAACAAAACAAATCTAAAATATATAATGATATCACAGTTTGCATAAATATTGTTGGTCTCGACGGAAAAATTTCATCGCTCCGTAATGTTGATGCAGAATTTATGGTTATTGGAAAATGAAACAGATGTTTAGCTAAACTACCATTATTTATCATATTTTCTGACTGCAATTCAATTTGTAGGGTTTCCAGTAATTGTTTTAATTCATCGCTTAATTTCTCTTTGTATAATAAAGAACTGTTAAAAGTCGGCTTTATGTGATTTAGATTATTGATAATATCTGATAAACATGGATATGTTTCTGGTAAAATAGGCAAACGATACTTGGTCACAGCTGTACACAAGCTTTCAACAAATGATGTATTCGTAATGATATCTTCATTGTCTTTTAAAATGCTAATAAGGAAATATAGCTCTTCATTTACTACTGGCAAGTTTTCTGAAACAAAATCTGAGTTAGTTGTCTCTTTCAAGTTTATGCATAAGTCTAATTGCTTTTTCAAAATACAACTGTAAGCTGACTGATCTGCAATGAATAATTTATTTAGAAGATCTATGTGTGTACTATTAAGCCTGACAGGTTTTTCAGAATTTGTATTCAGACATTTAACTAAATAGTTACTTACTTGTTGGACATCGTTTATTGTATGATCAGAATAATGATCATTTATCATATTTAAATTATTCACTCTATTTTCAAGTAATTTTGATTTTAAATAACTAATAATAGGTGCTATCACAGAAGAATCAACAAATGAATCCCTTTCCAACTCGAACTGCTCTGACATTGTGATGCAAGATGAATTCGGATCAGAAACTGTACTATTTTCGTCATGTTTACTTTGAGTATCATCAATGTAAGTAGATAAATCTGAAAGCTGACTTTCAAAGGATACTGAGACGTTATCAAAATAGGCTAATATTCCTTTATTTTCTTCATTTGAGTGAACAGTTATAGTTTGATTAATCTGATTTAAAATATTGTTTAGTTGTTGTTTTTCAGAAACCAAGTTATGTTTAACAATGGATTCATTAGAAATTGAATCCGTTTCATATGGACTCGTTTGTGTAGTACAATATTCACTGATTGGAGTGAGAACATTTTGGTATCTTGTTACTGTGTTTCCATGAGTTGTTTGAGGAATTTTAAGACCTGTGTTTACAAGGTTGACTGGTTCTTTCTGTAAGGATATTTTTAAGCAATGATTAATTTTATTGAAATGATTTGTTAAAGCTTCTTCAACTAAACGTATATCACTGGATTGACAGATAATATTTTTATCTACAAAACAATCTGTTTCATTTGTTGATAGCTGTTTTTTGATGTATTTATGAATGTACTTTAAGTGGTCAATGTTGGGTATGTTTTGAATTTTATTATCACCATTCATGGAAGCTGTTACAGAATTATCATATTCATTTTCAACAAGCTGTAAAGCAGTTGAAATATCAATAGCAGTTTGCCTTTTTAACGCACATCGATTGTTTGGAAATTCTCTTTCAACATTTTGTTTTATAGCTTCTATGCCATGATTAATAATTAATCCATGATTTAAGCTAATCATGTTCTCCAGATGTTGAACAATTTCTGAATTTACTTGAGAATTTTGTTTATACGAAATATTGGGATCTATCTTTTCTAAGGAATTAATAACTTCTTCAATGCTATCAGACAGGTATTGCTTATCCTGGAAAAATGATGTTTTTTCATCTGTTTTAATTATTTTAGTTATCTCCAATAATGTTGTTTTGATTTGATCGAATTCCTGAGGGTTAATTATAATATCACTACTATTACAATTGTTATCGTCAACAACAGTATGACGTTTATGAACTGATGAAAATAAATTATCGCGTGCATACTGAAGTGTGTCCAATGTTTTAGTCAATTTCGAATCCGACCACATATATGGTACTGGTGTTTGAGGTGTTTCTTTGTTAACTAAACTGATGGCTAGTAGACTATCATAAATAGTTTGACGATCATTGACACTTAGAAGTAGCATAGAATTTGAGTTGTTAGAAGAAATCACCTCTTGCATACGTGAAAGTATGATATTTAATCTTCCAAATAACTCAGTGTTCGATCGTAACACGTCTGTACGAAGTAATTCAGTTATGCGTGGCATAACTAATTGAACGTTTTCAGCATTTAAACAACTTAAAGTTGTTAATTGCTGAAGGGTGGGTAAATGCGAGTTAGCATCAGTAGAATATTTGGAATGTTTCTTTAGTATAGAATATTGTTTTATTTTCGAGTTATCGTCACTACTATTTGTGTGGCCTTCATTATCACCACTTGAAGGTAATAAGTAACCGTTAGATAAGTTACTTTCTATCCGTTTATTCTTGTTTAATAAATTAGCTTTAAAATGAACAGTTGTGGAAAATTCTTTGTCGACTAATTGGTTGTAGTCACTGTTGTTGGTATAGAGACATTCTTCTGCAGAAGCTTGTGATTTATCTACTATATTCGTAAGTAGGTCTTCATATTTCTCCTTTTTTGTCAAGCAGCTCGTCCCAATGATCATTTTTCCATGAAAATGTTCTAAAAATATTTTAAATTGAGATGAAATATAAATGGTGAGAAATTCAAAAACGTATAAACAAAATTGGTGTTTGGAAAAGCTAGTAGAAAGTGTCAAACGTTTACTATATTAAGATGATGGAGAATGTTTGTAGCTCAGAATCAGGATGTTAGAGTTGCAGTAATCGCTAAGTTAGACAGATTATTTGTGAAGCATGTGGACAACTGTGGACATGAGTTCGATTGAGAAACGTCAAAATATCGGACATGGAAAAAACAAGGAAAGTTTTATAACCGAAGAACTCTGAACAAACATCAGTCGGTAGACATATTAGAACCAACAAAATCTATCATCCAATAAGATAAACGATCAACAACAGCAAGATAAGAGTTCGGATGAGGACATATAACAACTAAAATAAACATACAAACAACGATCACACAATTATCAAAAACAATCAACCTCAGGCTAAAAGAACAATCTGTTAATCAGTTGTAGGGAAGCCCTGATAGCTCAATTCCCATGAAATTACGTCCTGATAACGTTGTTCAGAAGAACAATGAAAGCTTCATAACTAATCCATTTAGCTCTGAGATCGCAACAACCCCAAGATAATTTAATCATTATTATTGTTCATTAGCTTACAAGAAAGTTAGCACTGTATATTTTATCTTACGATTGGTCTGACATCATTCTAATGCCTATCTATAAAACATGTTTACCTACAATTTCAATCTATAATATTATCAGCAAATGCATTAGTAACAAAAAAATAATAATTAGTTGCTGATTCCATAGTCACTAGGCAAATGTTAACTAAATCAGTGATAAAATATTATCAGTGTTAATTAGCATACATATATTTTGTAAATGACATATTCAGTCTTGTGTTTAACGTATATTCATTCAATGTGACATGCTAGACTAAGATCATTAAAGCTGTCTCTATTCGAAAAAGCACTAGAGGCCATTTTCTATTTGTTATTAATATTTATGAAATGGTGTATAGCTTAATTTTTAAAATGAAATGTTTTAATTTAGATTCTACATAGGTATTGTTAAATTATTCTATTTTTATTCAGATTAACAATTCTAGTAAAAATTTAGTAGTACTAACTTTGATAATCATTCCTTGTAGTCGACTAATATATAAATGACATTTCATTAGTCTATTACCAAGGATATCTTGATGGAATATTTTTTGTTTTATCACAAAGGGCTTTGTATAGATAATAGTTGAACTCATGAGTCAATTAATGCTAGACCACCTTGGAAAACCTGGGAGTACTGGACAGCCGTTCGCTGGATTCGAACTCAGGACCTTCGCTCTCGCGCGCTAGTACTTAACCTCTAGACCACTGAGCCGACATCCGACGGTATTTATGCCTATCTTCAACCAATCCACGTAATTACACCCATAAATAAAATTATATACATAATTATGTTCGTCACAGGTTTATGTAATAACATAATAATTTACTTTAGTCTAGACGGAATGGTATTAGATTCGACCTTTCTATGTATAAATGCGTCAATCATATGCTCTTCACTTGTATGAAAACAATTTATACATGAACCCGATTGTTGGTTTATATAAGAAGTTTATTTTGGTTTCAAAAACAGAATTTTTGTGTCGAAGGGAAAGTGAAAAATAAATCATACGAAATTCATTCTGAAATAAAAGTGAATTCTTGTCTTTATAGATGGATTTGTGAGGGATTATGTGTAATTCTATGCAAACGGTGGTTTTGGTTGCAGAAATAACAGACATATTACTGTTTAAAACAATTAGTCCCTTTGATAAATTTCGATAATGCAATGAGAAGACGTAGTTTATCAGAATTATGTGATATATTTTTACGCAATACATTTCGAACAATCTGATCACACAGATACTTGTTAAAAACATTTATATATGAAAATTAAAAGGTCAACTAGACAGATTAAGGGTAATTCATAACAAAGGATAAATATTAATGTACATAAAAAACAATTGTGATTACCACTCTGGATAATAAATAGTATTACCAGGGTAGGTTAAGTGTATGGACAAATTGTTCTTGAACACATAAAGGGGGTTTCAATTTCCGTATAGCCAAGGTTTTAATAAACTTTCGTATACGTCCTTGATGGCTTTTGTACAACACAACAAATGCTGATTTGATATCAATCAAATGTTTCGCAATGGATGATGTCTGTCTACCCTGTGATCTTATTTGACCATTGGAATTCATCTGATTCTGAAACCATTTTGGTATATGTTCACCCACCCTTAACCTGTCTAGTTGACCTTTTAATTTTCATATATAAATGTTCTTAACAAGTATCTGTGTGATCAGATTGTTCGAAATGTATTGCGCAAATATATCACATAATTCTGATAAACTACGTCTTCTCATTGCATTATCGAAATATTGCTTTATCGATGAGTTGAGCCTCATATTAAGCTTGAAAAATATATTCGTAATTATTTTCTCATGAAGAATTGTAATAGACTAATGAAACCACAGTATGACAAGATAATGCAGTTAACAAATGAATTAGCCTACACAGATTAATCAGATTTTCTAACACTGCTTAACTACTTATTTATTTGTCAGTAAACATATGAAAAAACCTATAATAAAGTTACCAGCAATTTTACAAGACAGTTGATTTTGTATTAACTGATGTATAAACTAATTACGTGTAGCGCTTTTTTTTTATAAAAAGTATCTCTGTCCAAAGTTAATAACTAATGCGGGAGGAAAACAACAACCAGAACCACTCGACTGGAAAACAGCTTATTCTATTTAGTTTTACACCGGAAATAAATAGAAATAATAACTGAGCAAAATGACTAATCAATAAATTGAGTACATCAAAATTAAAATGAAAAGTTCACTACATTATTCCACATTTTTAAAGTTAAATGAGATCATTTTTATGAATAAATTTGCTTGCTATTGTAAATACAGAATTCTAGACAGCAAACAAATAGCATTTTGAAAATAAAATTTAAAGTACATATATTCGAACCTTTTATACAAGGATGATGTTTAACCTTCAATATGAGAATATATTAGTGGTTTCTGTAGAATGTGAACTTCCTCAACGCATGAAATATGAAAATTACAACTATATAAATAATAACATATTGTATAGTGATATTTATACTTTCAAGTTAGATATCTTTTTTTTCAGTATAGGGTTGTGGAGATTATTAAACTATTGATTGAGATCTTGAACCGATTGATGTTAGACCAACATTGAAAACCTGTAAAGCACTGGACAGCCTTCTTGTCCTATTGCGAAACTCCTCAGCAGTGCGCATCCACGGTCCTGCCCACGGGACTCGAACCCAGGGCCTTCGGTCACGCACGCGAACCCTTAACCTATTTGACCACTAAGCCGGCGTCCAACGGCGTTAATGTCTAACTTCAAACAATCCACGTAACTGCCTGACCAGCTTCCATTGTTTTCAATTAGATCTTGATCAGGCATTACTCTAATATACAGTAATATTTATTTGCATATATGAAAATATTAAACCAATCAAGACAGTTTGTGAGTCAGTGAAAACAGTCAAATAAATTGTACAAATAGACATGAAAAGTAAAAAGTATATAACGACAAATGTGGTACTTGTGATAATTATAATGAAGGTTTAGATCAATGTTTCATAATAAGCAGTAAGTCAACGACTTGAAAAAGTAGACATTGAAATAACATTCATTAAAAATTATTAAAATTACTTAATAATAAGTGTTGAAATAATTAGGCAGTCAAGCACATATTTGAAAGAGTTTGACCAAAAAATATTTTCATATACGCGAATAAATATTATTGTGTATTAGAGTAATGAAGGTCTAATTGAAAACAATATTATTCGCTCACATATGGCATTCCAATTCACAATATGAGAGTTTTTATTATTCCAATATTACATTAGTCACTATAGTATGATTAAATTTTTACTAATTGTGTATTACGGTAATTACTAGTAACATTTAGACCTCGTTTAAAATAATTAACAGATATGATCGTATTTTTGTTCAATCCTTCATTACTTAAGAGTATAAAGTATATTGTAGTGTGATAAAATGATTATTCAGTCAACTCAAAGTGGTATATAATAGACAACGATTTAAAAAAATTATGAAAGATGTTTTCTTAAAGTTAAATAGAATGGTTTTTCCTTAATTAGAGTTGAGGAATGTTTTTTGCTAAATAAAACTTTGATTCTTCAAGGTAAATAACTTTTGCTACTTATTATTTTTTCGTAGAAGGGAAAAAAAGAAGAAAGGAAAGAAGAACAAAGCATTAAAGTCTAAAAATGTTGTACAACTGAAAATAAAAAGGTACGCCCTGAGCATTGAAGTCTATCATATATGACTACAGAATATATTAAACGTAAAAAAAGAATAAAATCTATTTGCTATGGTGAATAAACAAACAATTCACAATAGTTTCGACATGCGAAATAATCTCTAATTCAAAAAAATTCAATTAGAACTGCTAATTTAATTTATTAGGATTTGTTGAAAACCAAGTCAATTTTATAAATGACTAAGTAAATGAATCAAATATTCACAATAGGTTTTTATTTGATTTATAGATTTTACGAGTTGTTACACCCTGTTAATTAAATAATTCAAGTATTAATTTTGAAATTTCAGTCAATGGATGGATACCTGACAATCTAAGGTTTGAAGATGAGGAAACCTGAAATTATATTTCAGTTTGTTTTAGTTTGACACGAAATATCGAAGAGATAATGAAGATAAACTTAGTAGTTCTGTGGTTAGAATATATTTTCAGGTACTTTCATCATAAAGCGTTTGTTTCACATCAACTCAAAACAAATTCTTGTGTAACTTACATACAAACGATAACAATTTTAAACTCTAAAATAACTGAAATAATGCAATATTTATTGATTGTTTGAGATTTTGGTTATTGTGCATTTCATTGTTTTTCTGTAATACGACCAGGGTTATAACAAGTAAATAATAAATTTCAATCTTAACCAATTAGTTTTAATAAATTTCATGCAATAAACTCGAATGTAAACATTTTCATTATTGATTAGTAACTACTGTTGTTTATCGAATCTCACTCATGACAACTTATAAAACGACACATTTTTAATATTTCAATGATCTAATGGAAACAACTTGTAGGTTCTTACAAAACACAATAACTTTCAATGAAAATTTAAATAATTTCATCAGTAAAGCCATTGGAATTACAATCATTTAGAAATAAAATGAACCCTGATATAAACTCTATAGCAATCAAATTTTCCAAATCCGGTCCTTGAATAAAATGTCTACTATGACTATAGTCCGTTTAATGTCAGTCTTTATCGACAATTTCATTCTTAAAGCTGTACGATCTTAAATATCACAACTGTTATGATGATAATTTATACTGTTTGTAAATTGTTGGGTGCAATCACAACAAGGAAAGACATAATGTCTTATTCCTGATGTAAGTCTGCGGGGAGAATAGTTAGAATGAGTGATAATTTAACTAGGAAAGATACTGAATCCGATTAGTAATTAATAGTTATGAAAGTAAGACGATAAGCTTTATTATCAGATCTAATCTAAACAACTTGATAAAGCGAATAGATCGTTCTGGATTAAGAATACGGTAGGGTAATGGTTTGCAAATTTAAAGACTACGTCTAAAGTAGTACTAAGTGCTAAATAAATTTCTGTGTACTTATACATCTATTTTCTTCATGTATATGGCAGAAGGTTCAGCAAAACTAACAAAACAGGATTATTTTATCTTTGTTAGACTTATAGTTGTCTTTTAGATATCTATGAATGACAAGTGTGATCAAGTAAAATAAACAATGTTCACAAAGTACATTATTATTACACACGTTATTCACCCTCATTCCCTCATTTGGGCCAGGTATGATGATGCTTTCTGTATTTCTGTTTAAGTTTACGTTTTCCTGTTTCAGTGTCAACCACATTCAATAGTTTTTGTCATTAACAGCTATATAAAATGTTGTCATTGACAAAACTGCATGTATATTTTTTAGAACGAAATAATCAGGTTATTAGTACCGATCTCACGCTTCATTTTTCATTAAACGCTTGAAATTTATTGAAAAAAAAAGAATTTTGTCATGTTTTAGTTAGTCATTGAAGCGAACTAAAATCCAATTTTGTGTTGGAGACACATAAGTGATAAATAATAATCTTGAGTATTTAAATACTTGTTTTATTTCCATATACCACGTGAAGAACTTGTATATATAAATTAATAAACTCAGATAGTATCCACACGAAAATTTTAGTTTTCAAATTATAAACTTGAAATACAACAAAATATAACAAGTTAAATTTACATATGAATGACTGAAATTGTTAATATTCCCTGTTATCGATATGATATTCAGAATTTTGGATATAACACCTTAAAAACAAGCATTTTTCTACGCTAACAGATTTAAAATCATAATGTTCTCACAAATATCTAAAAGAAGTTACAGTCAAATAATTAATAAAAATATATGATGTATTTGCAATTAAGAGCAGTAAAAGTGAACTTATTTTCAAGGCATTTGTTGACAAAGTTCTAGTCTTCATATATTTATTATCTTTGTCGAATAAACAAAAAATCTTACCTTCAATGATTTCATCTCATGCACCAAAAGTTATTTTTAACATTTATAAAATATATTGTTTCGTTTGATGAACAAAAACTAGGGATTTAGTGCAATGCGGATAATTTTTGTCTGTTAGTCATGTTCTATTACTAAGCTTTCTATCGTTTTATGTAGCTGTCCTGTCATTCGTGGATATGTCAAACATAAACTTCCAAATTGGGTCACTTCACTGTGCATTTATCTTTACTTGTACTTGTGGAGCAGATTACACTGGCCAAACTAGCCGAGCGCTTTCCAAATACATCTACAAACATTATACTACATGGTTGTCGAGCTGATTTAAAACAACTAATAGTTCATTATCAGCATGGGTTTGTGGAGATTATTAAGTTTTTGATTATCATGAATCGATTGATGTGAAACCACCATTGAAAATCTGAAAGCACTGGACTGCCTTTTCCTTCTATTGTGGTACTCCTCAGCGATGTGTATCCACGACCCTACTCGCGAGGTTCGAATTCAGGGCATACAGTCTCGCGCGCGAACTCTTAACCTCCATACCACTGAGCCGGCATCTATGTCAGGTAGAGGCAATACAATGAAAGATGGTTTCGCAATTTCGTGGATTGGCTGAGGTTAAACATCAACACCGTTGGTTGTACGCTCAGCGGTTTAAAGTTTAAACCTTCGCGCGCGTGACCAAAAGCCCTGGGTTTGAATCTCGCGAGTGGGGTCGTAGATAAACACAGCTGAGGAGTCCCACAATAGAACGAAAATGCCGTCCAGTGCTTTCAGCTTTTCAATGGCTGTTTCACACCAATAGGTTCATAATTTCAATCAAAAACTTGATAGTTCCTTAATGAAACATCTTGTAAGCGCTGATCACACTATACAACTTGACAGATTTTTTAGAATAATCTGTACAGTCAAATGATTTAACTCAAGAAGTGTACAAACCAATAAATTATGCACCGCAGGAGTGTTAGCAATGCATTTTCTCAAAATTGAACTTTGTGTGCTAAATAGACACATGCGAGCTATCATTCTTCTATGGCATTAGCACCTAACCTTTAAAAACAGTAATTTGACTGATAATACATTCTTCTAATGTTTTGGAACTTTCACTTTTAACCATTCATCATTATCACCTACACGTTTGTGATTGATTCTTCATTCATCTGAGAGACATCAAGTGGACGATTATCTTTGACACAGTTGGTTTCACCCTAATATTTTTCTTTGAATTCTCAAACGTTAATCAATATTCTTTGACAAGTGATTGGATGTTATCGTACTTCTACTTTTTATTAGACTATATCAACTGCGGATTAGCCGTAAATATGACTGTACAGCTTGAGTAAGCGATATTTTAGTAAACAAATTTCCTTTGTTAAATTGTCTATAATTCTTCTTTAATGATAAAATGGGTTACGTTCGTTGTTAATCATGGATCGAAAGGTCAAGTATCTCCGTGTTTAATAGTAGTTGAAATGCTTTGTGAGAAACAAGACAAGGGAAAAGTAAAGCGTACTAATCTGTAATGGATGGCGATATATAGAACTTATAAAGTGGTACTTTGATACTCTAAAAATTGGTTGGTTTATGCTTTTTGTTAAGTAATTATGTAAGCCACCCAGAAGTAATAAACGTATGACCTGGCAAAAAGGTCAATCGCTTAACGACACCTAATTATATAAGAACAATCAGGTGAAACGAAGAAAACGAATATCCAAGGAATCAGAATGCTGATGGAATGAATGAAAGTGAGAAAAAGATTGAATACTGAGAATGTCACTTGAAGGATAAATAAATGGAATTGTTGAACAAAATGTATCAAATAATATTAGAATCTAGAGTGGTAGAAAACGATAAACAGTTATTATATCTATTCCACTTTAGTCGATTCTGTGGCATTTTACCTGACGTCCCCAAAATTGGAAAATGATTGTGAGGACTAAAGTTATGGTTCGCACATACTAACCTAGTTTTACATTAAAAAGCCCTAACCATCTATGTGGGTAGAGATTAGGAATACATAACACACTACTCAACCAACATGATCACTGAAGACTCACAAATCCATCAACTGATTTTTTAAATTTCAACTCAATGATCTTAGCACTGACTACCCGCTATCTCAACATAAATAAGTAGTACTCCCAATGCATCTGATGTAAAATACTTTCAATCTGCATTTGCTTTCTATTTTGACTGATACTTTTTCATAAATGCAAACCTTACCAGAGTTGATTCTTAGCAGTACACTATCTCCCTAAGAAGAAGACAGAAATCTTACTCGAACCAAATAGGTTGCGATTCAGCAAAACCCAGAAGAGGTTACTGAAGTCATGAGAAGTTTTCTTCAGCCATCAATCCACCAAGGATGATGATTAATTAAGTGCTCAATACTATTAACTACTTCACTCCAATGATCAATCTTAATATCAACACAATGCAATCCTGAAGCAACATTGCAAAAATTCACTGGTTATTAATCAAGCCTTTCAAAATTTTTAGCTTTTTGATAACATCTACATCAGGCAAAACTACATCACTTGGTTACACCAACAATGGAAATTCACATAGAGTGTACACATAAGTAACAACAAGATATGTCATTTTTCATGTTAATACGGCTTAAATAGCATATAAACAGAGCTAATCGTAACAATTACGTTTACCGACCATTTTCCTAGTACATTTAGTGACAAAGAATTTCATGTAAAAATATTTAGTACCAAGTAAAATGGACAATTTAGATGAATTTTATTTCGGATTTGGAAGTGTAAAATACCGTAGACGATTTCGCAATACAAACACTACCCAATTTTAAAAGTTCAAGTTAAAACTTCTGAATGTAAGAGGATAATGAAATACTTCGTTTTTAACAAATGTTACTCACTAGATTTCTAAATTTTCACCAAAATTCACCAATCAAGACAATCTACATTACATATTAGCACGTTTTATGTCACATGTATAATATCTATGACTCTTGCTTCACAGTTATCTATTTCGCCAAGTCAGTATTACGAATAAGTTAACGCAAGGAATATGCAATGTAATGAAGACAAAATTAAGTTAACTAGAAAATTAATTGAAACTTATCTACTTATCAGAATGATAATTGTCATAAAGTTATTATCTTTTATGCATTAATTATTTAACTCTTTGTGAGATAGATTATCTAAAATAATACATTTGTTCTTAGCGACTTAAAATCGTTAGAAGAATATTATAAAAATACAATGAACCAGTTTGCATTGAAGAAGTGACTGAATATCTTTCATACATGTAACAAAAGTGAATACTACTTACTTCTTTGACAGCATGATATACAAGAACCCATGCTAAAATATTTCCAATAACGAACGTTGAAAATTAACTAGAGTTTATGGTATAGACTTTTGATTTTTTCAAACTTTTATGAAACATGATATCCGATTTAACGAACACATCTTGCATGAGTTTATAGTGTATGAATCGATGGAATTATTGATAAAAATTACTGAGTTAAATTACTTAATTCCATGTAATTTGATCATTTTACTTTTTAACTTAAGTATCATGAAGGCAGTTAGTTAAATTGTGTAACCAAAATGCAAATCTACAAGTTAAGGTAGACGGAAAATAATTATTTTCCTACAGATATATGATTTAAATAGTGTATACAATTCACTTGAGTATGTGAATATATATTCATTTTTTCTTTCTCAGAAAGCCAGTTAAATTTTTACTGATTTACCAATCAGAACTCAATGGCATTAGTCTAGTCTATGTGGGCAATTAAAAGAGCATTTGGAAGGATGAATTTTACAAAGTAGAACAAAAGCAAAGCAAACAACCAGAAGGTAAGTACATATCAAGGTTATTCTAATGAAACAAAGGCAGGAAGTGAATATATCTGTTAATTAACAGTTTTTGATATAATGAAAAACTATAATCTCTACTACTTGTAAAATATAAGAAGTGCTAACAAAAATAATAAAAATAAGTTAAATATGGTAGTAATCGTTTTTTTAGTTAATTATTTTTTATTTTTCAATTTCGATAGGTTCTCTAGGTACAATTATACATATATTCACAAAACATTATAGTACGCTTAATAAACGAATCAAATACAAATGTTTGTATGTACTGTATATTCATCTCATAATGCTTTACATTAAATTGTTAATTGGATTTTGGTTTGTAAGCAGCAGACGAGAAACCTTGAAATAATATGAATTCATACTATTCTGCATCAATGTTTGTTCACATTAAATTGTTAATTGGATATGTGATCAAATAATAGAAGGAAGTTATGAAAAGAATTAAAACTAACCCTATTTTGTCAAGACATTAATTTACACTAAGCATAATAAATGTATTTAAAGTCAAAATTAAATGTGGCTAACAGATAGATTGATCTTAACGAGATAAACTTATTTTCACAAGCTGTCTCCCCAGTAGTGGATAACTACGTGACAGTGAAGTCGTGATCAACGAGCTCGCTTACATATCACATGAATTACTAGATTTATTCATTTGAGAATATGGGGAAATCATCCATTGATAGAGTGATAAACTGTTACTAGGTTTTAGCATCATATTAATGACAAAGGACACTGTCAATATAACTACAAAGGCTACCAATTTTCTGTATACACTTTAAGTTTCGCAAAGTTAAGACGTAGTATATTGTTCAATAAACCATATACAAATTCGAAACCAAATAATTAGGTTGTCTTTAGTACTTTAACTTTCAACGTGATAATTAATTCCTCTTAGTAACAAAGGTAACATATCTATAAACTGCTAGACGATAAGATAATCCTAAAAAAGAAAATAACTACGATAATAGTTGTCACGTATATGCAGACGTACAGATGATCGTTAAGTACCTGCTTGACGATGAAATATATCATGTTTTATTTTAAAGTGAATAGGTGAATGGGAAAATCGTTGGGATTTAATAAAAGAATAGGAACTTTAAATAAAATTTACAGGTTTGGAGTTGTACTTGAAATAATTCTTACGAAAGAGTAGCTGTCTTGAAATAGAATCATAATAATTATGAATTAATTTTTTGTTGTATACATTCAGAATGTGTACAAAGAATAACGAACAAAATAGCACATGATATAGGATTGTGTACAGATTCATTCTATTTAAGGGTTAATTTGTAAACAAGCACTCAGTTAAAGATAAATAAGTTGTGCTTATCAAACTTCTCCTACCATTTCTTAGAAATGCATCATTTTTTGCCGGACATGTGACTGTTGATGGAAGCATGTTAAGGTATGAATAATAGCAAATTTGTTCAAATTAATGAGTGTTTTGGTTATTAAACATAAATTAGAAAAATTAATACTAACTGACATAGTAATAACGAGAAGTGCTGTGAAAATTAAAAACAATTTGCTCATACAATATGAATATTTAATGAGTATGACTAAGTGTTAGTCATTCGTAGTAGAATTTTCTTTCCCAGCCCATATTCATAAAATATGAATTATTTAGAACAGATTTCAAAAATGACGCTGAAACATACGTGTATAGTAATACGAATGACAATCCCATAAGCTTTGTGCAACAATTTGTTGCATCACTAACGAGTCACCGTTTGTTTACTGAAATTATTATGATTTAGGGAATATATATCTTCACTCAAACTGTAAAGTACAACATTTTCGTGTAATCTCGTGGACTACTCATGAGTAGTTTAAAAAAAACTATACAATCGACGAATAGATGTGGTTTTTCTTCAAGCAGGCATATGACTAGCAATAATTGAGAGATCATGGAAACAGTAAAGCTATAGCTTGTACATAACCGAGCTAAAAATTTGGTCACCACAGTATCCTACTGTCTAATTACAGATGTAATATTCTAAATCTAGATAGTGCGTAATAAACATGTCTGGATAGACTACTATCACAATATGGCGTAATAAAATGCATGACATTCAATAGAAACAGATATTAGATCAGCTGTTATTACAATGAGAAAATATCTCAAGGATCGTAACGCGTTCCAACAATTTTAACAGTGAGACACTAACTAAGACGCAATATTTTCATAATAACACAGAATAGTCAAATCAAAAGACTAACACAAAGATAATTGTAGTGCATTTTGTTATGTAAAAAGGATGGAACAAATAATTGTGTAATTCATCATGGATAGTTAAATAATGACGTATTTTCAAACCAACGATAATAGCTTTCATAGATCGCTTTATTTTATCCTACAGAAAAACCCAATATTCTTTAAAATAAAACGATGCGTACAAAAATGATAAGACTTTACACTTCATGTGTTTTTCAAGTTACTCAGCAAGCAATCATCTTTTTACTATCGTCTTACTGATAAGTGATAACTATCTGTCAGTCGTAATCCGTAAAATATATATGTTATTTCTTTTTGAATTTCCTATAATACGCATTCATGACCCTTAAAGAAATTTGTTTTCATATGTAAATTTTCTTGTAACGTTAATCTCATAAATATTGATATGAAGTTGATGATACTAAGATTTCAGTAATAACGGCCGTAAAATTTGCCTTTTGACACAGTCTACGGATACGTTGGAATGAGGTGAAGCCACTATGAGTGTCAGCGAAGACAAGTAACGTAACAGTTCTAAAGTGAATTTTATCCAGTTACACGTAACAATTTGTGATTCATGAGAATGTAATGTTCATCAAGATACATCCATTGTATAGGCATATTACTGCGTTTTAGACATAAAATAACTCAGGAACTGAAATCCTAGCAAATCTAATTTTATAATCAGTCAGTCAGTCAGCTATAACGTAGGACCAGGCACATATATGCATCAGTCCAGGTTGCCATACCTCGTTAGCACAGCAAGATGAACACCGGATTCATAGAACTGGTTAGGTTAAAGGTGGTAATATATAGGAGAAAGATTACATATAAGGATACAGTACCGGAATATAGAATTAGTTCGTAGAAAGAAAGATAAGAAGCGATTTTATTCTCTTAGTTTAAGGGAAGACAGTGAGTGTATGCACCGACGCGATTGTGATCGATTCTGAGCCATGTCACCAAGAGTCTCCTACCATCGGTTACGAAAGTCACGCGGACCCCAACCAAGTAGTCTGCATCTACCAACATGGCTCAGTCTAGAGGTTAGTGTCTTCAAGCACTGATGCCACGTTTTGGTTTGGCCGCCCCTAATTCTCTTCCAACCATCTCTAACACTCGTTAGCATTGCACGTCGTGGTAATCGGTGTTCAGGCATATGTAGCACGTGGCCCAACCATCTCAGTCGATGAAGATTAACAACCTCATCAACTGATTTACCATCATTCCCTAATACCCTGCGTCTAACCTCACTATTACTTACCCGGTGATCCCAGCAGACGCCAGCAATATTTCTAAGGCATCTGTGGTCAAATACTAGTAGCTTACGAGTGTCTTCTACTCTTTAAGGCCATGTTTCGTTGTCGTAAAGTAAGACAGAACGGACTGCCGCGCAGTATACTCGTCCTTTTATTGATAGACGGATATCTCGCCTTCGCCATAAATGACGTAAGTTGGCAAAAGCCAAACGAGCTTTTCGAATCCGTGCTGAGATTTCGTCCGATACCAACCCATTAGGGCTGATCAGACTTCCAATATAAGTGAAGTTGTCAACGCGTTCGACCACTTCACTCCCTATCCTTAGTTCAGGTGTTGACGCAGACCAGTCCTGAAGCAACAACTTGCATTTAGAGGGAGAGAACCGCATTCCAAACATTCTGGCAGGTACTCCAGAATGAGCGACAATCTTCTACCGACCCTCTCCAACGATGACTGATGGCAATATGGTCTATTTGAGTCCATCATTGGTTTGGTGTAGGGGGTCGCCATTTTAGACGATGTCTCTCCTTATGCTTAAAATTTGTGTTTGCTAGAAATAAACGATTGCCTGAGCATAGTTGCAGCAGACGGTCACCATTATCTGTTCGTTGTGTCGATATACTAAAATACCCACCTAAATGCTTTTCTGTTTGGTTTAAACTACCTATCTGGGCATTAAAGTCACCTGCTACGAGTACTATGTCTGAACGTTTAGCTTTCTGAAGAAGTTCAGATAGCTTTCTGTAAAATTCATCTTTCACATCATCTGAGCTGCAGTCAGTGGGAGCGTAGGCAGGATCGACAAAAAGGCAACGACGTGTGTCCCTATCCTTCCGAGTTCTTACGGAGCCGTTTAGCCGGACAGCACATAGACGACTGTTGACGGGGATCCACTCTAACAGTGCTTGTTCGGCCCTCATGCTTAGTGCTATGCCTACACCTGCCAGTCTACGAGAGCTGGTCATCGGGTCACCAGATACACGTAGGGTGTATCTCGTTGGCTCTCCATTTTGCCGAGGTGAGGTCAAGTGAATGACCACACTGGGATCCTGTATGCGTGTTTCAGAGACACAGCATACACCAATGGTACGAGATTCTAGGGTTCTAGCCAAGGAAGCCTGTTGACTGATTTGACATAGAGTGCGTACGTTGAAGGCTCCAATGTGTAGTTTGGAGCGAGGTTTTAGTAGACCTGGGACAGTGTTTTGAGCACTAGAATCGTTGGCTATGGTGACATTTGAGGAGGAAGCCGAAAAAGGAAGTTTAGAGGTGAAAGTCGATGTGAGAGGAATAATAGGAATTGAAGAGGGAGGTTGATTA